ACATTTGCTAAAAAATATAATCTTTTTTGTACTATGTAAGAAAGTAGAAAATAAACTTTTTAACTTGAATTTAATAGTTCAGTAAACTAGGATTGTCTATGTTTATATAAAAATCTTTATAAAAAAGTGTATATATAAATTTTTGTAAAAAAGTGATAATTAGTTTGCAATAATGAATACTGCAAAGTGAAACGAATTTTCTAGATGTTGTAGGTAAAACTGTAGATCATATATAGATTGAACTATAGATTATTTGTGGTCTCTATTTCCTAGACTTAGTTTTCACTATTATTTTAGGTATTTAAATTTTTCATTTTTGTCGGAAATTTTGTCTTGTTTTGTTTTGATTTTGTTTTGATATTTTTCAGTGATTAACTTTTTTTTCCATGTAAAGATTTCGGAGTTACTAAACTATTGAAGGTTGTTTGCAGACAAGATAACTTTTGAGGTGGCTTTGGAGCTAAAGTTTGTGATATATGCTGATGCTAGATGTTGTTGGTATAGATTCAAAGGGCAATGGCTGAGGTAGTGTAGTTCCTGGTGCTAGATTTGATGATGGTACTATCATAGATTCTGGTTGTTGAGATGATGAAGGCTTAGGTTCAGATCTCGGCGTTTCAAATGTATTAGAAATTTGCAACTTTGACAGATCGATTTTATCGATGTTGAGTGGAAACAAGCCAGTATCCTGAAACCCAGTGACTAACTGGGTACATGTAAAAACTTCATAAGAGCTGAAAAGTTTTTTTTGCATTGGCTGAAACATTCTTTTGATTGTTGCAAAACTTTGTCTCTGCATAAAACTGTTTTAATTTGCGCCAAACTCTTTTGACATGGCAATAAACACCAACATCTAGTGTCTGTAGAATGTACGATGAGTGAGCAATTTAACAAGAGAGTAACTAGCGAATTTCATTCATTTGTTAGAACCATTTTATAAAAGCAGTAAGTAAAAATCATTTAAATTCAATTAGAAAAATTCGCTCTTTGAAATTTATACAAAAAATTTATAGTTGGAGATTTATTGGTCACTTGAGACCTAATAAAAAAAAGCCGTTTTTAAGAAATAAGCAATTGCTTCGTCTTTATTTATTTATTAGCATATTTTATTCAACCCCGCAACACTCAGTTTCTGTTTTTAACTCATTACTTTCTTTCCTAAATAGCAAATTTAATTTTGAAAAAAGATTCTTGATTAGCGTAAAAAGTTGTAGTAGTAAACATTTCAAGTTTTTTTCATGATACCAAACTTAATTTCCAGGAGTTTAAAGTTCCCTTTTCAAACAAATAAAAAATATATTATTACGCATTCGAAAACTTATAAATTTATAACAAAATTTTTTTAATTAAAAATAAAATTTTATACAATCTTACTCAGAAAAAAATTCTCTACAATATAATCATAAAATATTTCCAAAAAAATTATTCAATAGTTAATTAAAAGCGAAAGAATAAACATTGTCATAACTATTTTGTTCTACCCGCTATAGAGTAAAACCATTTTACCCTGTTTTATTCTATAAAAATATGGGTAAAATGAAATGTAGTAAAATGAAGCGTGTAGACCAAAATAGTTTTATATTTTTTTAATTATTATTATAATTAAAATATTTTTTTAATTATTTTTAATTGTTTATTTGATATTTAATTTACGTTTAATTGTTTATTTTTAATTGTTTAATAATTATTTAATATTTGAATTAATATAGTTGAAAAAAATTATTTAAATATTTTTAATTATTTAAATATTTTTTTAATTATTATAATAATAAAAAAAATAACTATAATAATTAAAAAAAAATCATTATAATAATTTTTAATATTTTAATTAAATAATTAAAAAAAAATTATTTAAATATTTCTAATTATTTTTAATTATTTAAATATTTTTTTAATTATTATAATAATTAAAAAAATATTTGAAAGGACGTTGAAGTATGTAAAAATTATTAGAAAATTTGTTTATTGTTTAGTTGAATAACATTGTTTTGTGTACTTGTTGTTATCTTTTTTTCGAAGTTTTGTATAGCGCAAAGTTTACTCCAATAATATAGTTTTTAAAATTTTAACTAAAAAATGTAAAAGGTGTGAAATAAAATACACCAATGTCTATTGGGACAATCTCAGTTCTTTCAATATTTTACATTTTACTCGATTTATTTTTGTTGTGTACTTCCGCGTACATACAAAAAAGTTAATTTTGAGGCTAAACAAAAATTGTTTAAATTTGTTGAAATTATTTTGGAAGCTCCTATTATAAGGTGTAGGATAGATAATACAGTGGAATTTACGTCAGCAGTAATAATAGAAATATCTGAAGCATAGAAATAAGGACTCACATTTAATATTCCCTCTTCATTATTATAAAATTTAATATCAATATCTGATTGATTTTATAACGGAATATATTTGTTTATTAGGATTATTTATGTCAATATTATTAAAAGGGCTATTATCTAAATTATTACTAAATAATCGATTAGTTTTCATTATAAAAATATAAATAAAGTTTTTTTTTTTTTTCTAGTTCTAATTTACCTGAGTTCTAATATCATCGTTTGCGTTAATAAATTTCACTGCATTCAGTTACCAACAACGTAACGGATTTATTTGTTAATTCAAGCTCGTTTGTTAATTATTTTATTTAAGTTATCAATATTATCTTTATCATTGTTATCAAGTCGTTCAGTTAAAATTTCATGTTTGCAGCTGTTATTGAAGCAAATATTTTTTCGTGCTCTTTTAATAGTTTTCTAATTTCGTTTAAGATGTTGATTTTTTACTTTTCAAACATTTCATAAAATAATTTTTCGGTACAATTTTTATCTATAACAAGAATTTAAACGATACGAAAAAAAAAAAAAATTTAATAAAAGTAAAAGCAACTACAAAAATAACATAAGTTTCAGCTAATTAATTTTTTGGATATGCGTAAGATGTATATGTCAAATAAATTTCTGGATATTAAATATTTCATGTTCCATAATAATTATTTTTAATCGCAATAGCTATTATATTTATTGACCAGATTAATTATTTTTAATTGCCAAAAAAAATATTTATGTTTTTGAAAATAATCCAACAATAATAAATTGGAAAAAAATATTCATGTTTTGGAAAATAATTCAACAATAATAAATTGTCATCAAGCTATAAACTAATGCTGATAGACCGGCAATTATAAGGTGGTACTAAAAACAAAAAATCCAATTTTTTAATTGCAATTCAATTTTTTAATTGCACCTAAGATCAGGTGCAATGAAAAAATTGGATTGATGATTATTATGGAATAATTTTTAAGGAATTGCACAAAAACTTTTCAAAAACGATCCAAAAATCCATTTCAGTCAGTCATTCTACTATAACAAGATGCATTGATAGTTTAAATTATACTTTAAAACGTGTTCACAATATTCCAAAGAGAAGAAATTCTCAAGACAGATGAAAGAACTTCTTATGCAGAAAGATTCATGAATATTTTGTCTTCTATGAATGACAATACAACTTTCTTTATTCTTGAAGTAGGATTTAGTCTTTTAATGCAAATTAGAAGAGAAAGTTTTTTGGTTCAAAAGAGGGCCACACAAACAGTGACCGGATTAACCAAGATTAAACCCAGGGGTACGGGATTTACCAAGATTAAACACAGGGTTCTTAAATACTTATTCTTAAAAGATAATAGTAAAATAAATTTTGTTAAAGTTGTTTTAGCATACTAACGGGTTATGCATAAGTCTTCGAACTTTTTTTGAAACTGATTTAAATAAGGAGAGTAATTTTTCAACCTTCAACTTATTGTTTATTTTGAAGATCAAACATTAATGTATTTAAATTACTTTTAATTTTTATCTAGACTTCTATACAAAAAAAATGACAAGGTTTGATCGAAAAGCCCTCGCAAAACGAATTGCAACGTTCTATGAAAATCGTTTAAGTGATAAAAAGAAATTAACATATAAACATTTTAAAAATGAAGGAATACGACAGTCAACTATATTTAGTATTCTTAGGTATAAGAAGTATGGTGTGTATAATGATTTGGTTAGGTCAGGTTGTCCTACAAAAATGAATTAGAAAAAATGTCAAACGATTGACTAAAATGCTAAATAATTCAACTGGTATTAGTCAAAAGTATTTAGCTTCATATTTTAAGGTGAACCAAAGCACAATTTTAAGAACTATTAATTTCAAAACAGATATTAAATGCTACAAAAAACAAAAAGCACCTTTGTATGAAAATGATCAACAACAGAGAGCAGCAATATCATCGAGAAGATTAGTTAATAAAGTATTCCATGAAAAAGATATAATCATGGATGACGAAAAATATTTTAACCTATCAAACTCAAATATACCTGGAAATGATATATATTATACAAATAATTAATTGTTAGCCCCTGATAATATAAAATTTAAGTTAAAAAAAAAATTCGAAGAAAAGGTATTGGTTTGGATTTGCATTTCTTCAAATGGATTTTGTGAACCTTATATACATAGATCAAAGAATTCAATAACATCCAATATATATGTGAAAGCATGTATGAAGAAAAGATTTATACCATTTGTAAGAGAACATCATAAAGATAATAATTTTGTGTTTTGACCAGATCTGGTCAAAACACAGTAAGCACATGAACGTTTTTAAAACGTTTTTTTAACTAAGAAAAAAAACGTTTTTTAAACGTTCTGAATGGCAATACCTAAAAAACGTTTTTAAAAAAGCGTTTAAAAAACGTTCTGAAAAAGTCGTTTAAAAAACGTTCTAAAAAAAACGTTTAAAAATCAATCTCAAATAACCTAAATAAAACCATAATTTAGGCGTCTTTTAAACTTTTAAAAGACTTTATTTTTTAGAAAATATTTCCAAATCCATAGGTACTATTATTAAATTGTTTTTAAAAGAACCTGTTGGTTTAAAAAATAAGAAAAATAAAAAATTTATTCAAAAGTTATTTTTAAATTTATTTTTTAAAACAATTTACAAACAAAGTAATATTATAACGATGGATTTAAGGTACTTAAAAGACAAGCAAAAGTTGCCCGTTTTCACGAATCAGCAATTATTGCATCGACAATCGACTCTGTGTATGATTCGTGAGAAGTCGATGCACAAACTAAAAGAAAAAACTATATATTTAAAACAGACAATCTGAACAGTAATAATAGTATTATAGTTTAATAATAATATATAGTATAATAATAATAGTAATAAGTTTTTAAATTACAAATATATGTTTTAAAAATATATATATATAACTTCACATTGCATATATATATATATATATATATATATACACACACACACATATATATATATATATATACACATACATATATATATATATATATATATATATATATATATATATATATATATATATATATATATATATATATATATATATATATATATATATATATGTATATATATATATATATATTTTTTTTTTTTTTTTTTTTTTTTTTTTTTTTAACATCTTCACTTCCAACAAGGCTGCAAGCAACCACTATAAGAGTTGGAAGTTACTGGAAGAGAAAAGACTAAATCTGTAGAGCAAGATAACGATTGACTGATGACTTAAAAGATTGCAAATTATATGAATCAGGAAAGCAAGATGAAGGAAGCGAATTCCAAAGAACTGATGTTCGAGGAAAAAAACTAGAAGAATAAGAGTTTTTGAAGCACTTAGGAACAGTCACAGAAAAAGGATGAGACTTAATTGAATGGCGAGTAACACGAGAATGAATTTTAGTAGATGGCACAAGGGACGCTAGCTCTTTAGAGCAGTGCCCATTATAGTATTTGTAGAAAAGAGAAAGAGAAGCAACATTACGACGATGTGACAAAGGTTGGAGATGTGGCAACAGTATTCCATACAGGGACGGATTTGAGATTTATAGAGATAGAGAATAGAATCTGGAGTAAGAAAGTGTCGAGCTCGATAAAGAGATGCAACCTTAGCAGATGCTAATTTTGCAATGGATTTGATATACGGTTTAAAAGAAAGATCAGAAGTAAGAGTTAATCCTAGAAGATGAATGGTAGATGACTCATCTAGTACATTACCATTCACAAATATAGGAAGATCTAAATTATTACGATAACGATTGGCCGAATAAAATTGAGTTTTATCTGAATTAAAGTTCACCAGCCACTGTGAGCCCCATGCTGTAGCAGAAGTGAGATCCTTTTCAAGCTCAGATACCTTCTCCAAGCAATCAGAGAGTGTAGGCTTCTTATCATGACAAGAGTAAATGGTAGTGTCGTCAGCGAATAATGCCACCTTAGATGTGAGAATATCTGGAAGATCGTTAATGTAAATTAAAAAGAGTATAGGGCCAAGGATTGAACCTTGAGGAACCCCTGAAGTTACAGGATGTGAAGAAGAGTGTTGTCCATCGAGGACAACTTTTATACTACGATTGGAAAGAAAGGACTCAATAATCTTAAAGACGTTACCAGCTACACCATAAGAAGAAAGCTTATGGAGAAGACCAGCATGCCAAACTTTATCAAAAGCTTTAGAAATGTCAAGTGCGATAGCCTTAACCTCTCCACCTCTATCTAATGCACGGTAAAACCTATCGGTTATTACTGTTAGCACATCAGCTGTAGAACGAGAAGACCGAAATCCATATTGATGGTCAGAAAGTAAGTTATTTGATTCAAGATGAGAGATTAAGTGTTTGTTGATTAAAGATTCAAAAACCTTGCTTATGACAGGAAGAAGACTAATGGGACGGTAGTTAGATGAATCAGATCGCTCTCCGGAATTTTTGAAAATAGGGATAACAGATGCTGCTTTCCAGCATGATGGAAAACAAGACTCTGATAAGCACTTGTTAAATAGTTTAGAAAGTATGGATGAAAGCTCCGGAGAACACCTCTGCAAAACTACAACAGGAATGTTGTCAGGACCACAAGCTGTTGAAGAGTCTAAGCAGGAAATTACTTTAGATACAGAAGCTGAAGTGATGCAAATGTCAAGCAAGGGATCAACCTGTTTGACGGCTATGTCAGGTAAAACGCAACTAGTGGAATCAAGAGATGATATTGATGAAAAGTTCTTAGCAAACAATTCAGCTTTGTCTTTAGGTGAGGTGACAAAGTCTGAACCATACAAGAGAGAAGGAATAACAGATTTGCCCTTATTATTGATACTGTTAAAGATTCTCCAGAAGTCTCGAGAGCCTAATTTTTGTGATGAGATACGAGATTTAATGACCTGGGAATAGCGAGTTTTGGCGTCAGACATTTTGCGAATAGCGAGTTTTGGCGTCAGACATTTATATATATATATATATATATATATATATATATATATTTATATATATATATATATATATATATATAAAATTGAGGTTTAAATATTTTTGTATTTTGTATCACATTGCATATATATATTCATATATATATATATATATATATATATATATATATATATATATATATATATATATATATATATATATATATATATATAATATGTATATACAAAAAATATATATATATATATTTACACAGTGCTTGAAGAGGAGAAAAAAAGGAAACAGGTTAGTATTCGGTAAATTAGAAATACAATCCCGCCTAATAATATATATATAGATTATATATATATATATATATATATATATATATATATATATATATATATATATATATATATATATATTATATATATATATTATATATATATATATATTTATATATATATATATATATATATATATATATATATATATATATATATATATATATATATATATATATATATATAAACGTACCTTTTATTAAGTTGTATAGCTTAGTTAGGCTAAAAAGATCCTTTGCCTTTTCCAGCTGCCATATTAGATTTGGCCATGAGCGAATTTGTCATAAATCTAAAAATAATATATTTTAATAATATTATATCTTATAATTTATGAAATTATAATTAACTACTGTATTTAAAATTTTTTTCTTTTTTTCCATAAAATCTAAATGTAATTAAACATTTAGATTTTAATTTAACAATACAGTTTATCTATTAATTAAATCTAATCTATTATTTAAAAAATAGCACACTAACCATTAATAAAGTCCAGATCATAAGTGTACACTAACCATTAGTGTAGTCATATATATGAATATTATCTGGGTTAAAAGAATTATCTGGACTAAAGTTTAAAGCTATAGGATAACCTATAGCTTTAAACTTGCAAACTGGTAAAAGTGTAAATTGGCATTAGTGCGCCAAACAGGTTAGCAAACAATACGAATAGGCATAAGTGCAAAATTTGATTACGTACAAAACAGTTACAAAAACTGGCAGAAGTGCGAACATAAAATATTGGAAACGCGAAAAAACACCGAAATACAATGATGAACAACGTCTAAGGGCACAAAAAAGTCGAAAACTCGTCAATCACCTCTACAAAGAACAAAGCGTTTGAATTTATATATATATATATAATATGTAATAAATTCGCAGTTTAGAATTATGCTAAATTTTGCAAATTTATTTGGCACACTTATGCCAGTTTGCATTTATGTTGTTTGCACTTTTGCGAGTTTTTGCAACTGCTTCACACTTATACCAGTTCCCACTTATGGCAATTCACACTTATGCGAATGTTTGTAAATCTATTTAGCGCACTTATGCCAATTTACACATATGCCAGTTTGCACTTATAGCAGTTTGCAATTATGCCAATGTTTGGAAATCTTTTTGTGCAGTTATGCCCATTTGCACTTATGCCATTTGGCATTGTGCCAGTTTTTGTAACTGCTTTGCACATGTGCTAAATTGCGCGTATGAAATTCACGGTTATTCAGTCATCCCATTATGGTAAAACGGCTAACGTAGAACCATGCATGGGAATTGTATAATGGATTGTAAGATGGGAGTAATATCATTATAAAATTAAACAGAGTATTTATAGGAATGCACTTTTAATTTACTAACCTCTTCTTCATAGCTATCACAAGTTTTTGACAGTTCTTACCACTAATATTTTGAACTCTTTGTTTCTAATAGAAAGAAATAATGGAAATCTGACAATTCCTAATTAAGTAGTAAAAATTATATATTGTAAAGAAAATTAAAAAAAAAAGAAAAACCTGTCAAATCAGTATTTAGCAATTTACAACTGCAGAGATACTACTGAGTTACTAGATGAAACATTGTCAAGTGCTGAGTCAAACTTATCAAATTCTATTATGCTGTTCATTTCAGTTACTACTTCTTCTTCACACTATTTTATATAAAGTTTTTTGCATCCTTGGGTTTTTATCTCATTTAAGAGAAGCAACACATAATATTGAAAGTCTAAACAAATTTACACTAATTAAATTTTACATTGTCTTAACTAAACTACGTAAATAAATTTAAAATACATAAATTTAACAATTTAACAACTTTACTGGTCTAAGCCTAAATCAGAGAAAAACTAATAGACATTAAAATACCTAATAGTGGCAATGCTATATTATATATATTAGCATTTTTCTCAGGTTTGGGATTAGACAAGAAAAATTGTTCCATAGATTTATAGTTTTGATAATATTGAAATAATGGATTTCATGAAGGTGATTATTTAAAGTTAAAATTGGAACCTCATCATTTTAATGATATTTTTTAATATTGACAGTCATGTTAGCATTTTACAACAAACATTACACTATTAATTTTACACGGCTGTTTCAGAATGGACATACGGCTTCTTGTTATTTTTTGAAAATAATTACTTAGGGGGTGTTACTAAAACTTTCATAACTTTTGAAATATTAAAGAAAAATACGTTCTGTAAAAGGAATATGAACACTGACTAAATGTTTTATATTTTATTAATAATATAATAATCCAAGGCTGCTCTGATTTTTAAATAAACGCGCATAATGACGAACTTGGCAGAATTTCGAAATTTTAAAGGTACTTTTTAGCAAAAATAATCAGAAAAATTATATTTATGTTGACTAATATGTAATATAAACATAGACCAATTATAAAACATATTAACATTATTTACACCGAATGCAAATTAATACAGGCACTACAATAGACGTAATAAAAAAATCGCAAAAATTCTCCACGAGTCAAGAATATTCCGCTAAACTTTGTTTATTTTATTGTCTCGCCAAAGCAGAAGTTCACTTGAAATTGCTAAGATAATTGCTTGGGACGTAACGCATTTAAAGTTACGTCATCGCTTTTTAATGTTTACAAAAATTTAAGCGAAAACTGAAAATATTTTTTGCTAAACATGCTAAGTTTGAAGAGATAATAGCTGACATAGCTAGAGGTACAGAAAATAGATTTTTTGTTTTCATATGCATAAAAGGTTAAAATTTCAATAACTTATGTTACTGATCAAAAATGTTAAATTTTACATTTAAAAATAATAAAATTAAATATATAAATGCAATAAATTTTTTTTCTTTTTGACAAATACACACCAGTAACGTTAGAATATGATAAAATAGACACTCATTAATAAGTGCTCTAAATTTCAACCGTTAAGCATGTAGCTATGTCAGCTAATCTTTGTTGGCCCAAGACAGGTTTTCATTAAAAATCTCAAAAAACAGAAAAGTGATCCCAAATCAATTTCAATATTTTAACAATATTTTATTATAGTCCATTTAATGTAAATATTTTTTTAACAAGGAAAGATAGATCTTTTATTTATTTTTTATTAAAAGATGAAAGCATTTCTAGAAAAAAAATACTATTATTTTAAAGTTAGTGAATTTTTATACTTTTTATGCGGAAATACTTTTTTTTTTGCTAAACTCATGACGTCATGCCCACTTTTATATAGAGTGAAACAGCCGTGTTTAACTAAAGACTTACTTGCTTGAGATAATGGAAATCCATAATGTTTATCCTTTTTATTTAAAGATGATGAAGATTGATGCGTCTTAAAATGAATCTCTTGGTCATCACAATCAATATCATCTTTGTTTATTATTTTTTGACCTACACAACACAAACATAGAGAATATTTGAATTTCATCTAACAACTTGTCTTCTCATGTAGCAATTTTACAATTAAAAAATTTTTACAAATTACTTTAAATATTATTAACTTTATAATTAAAATAGGGTATATAGTATGGTATATAATATTATAGGTTTCATACTGCTAAACATTTGGTAATAACACCAGAATATCATTAAAGAATAAAAATTTTAAAATGACATTTTGAAGTAAGTCACTCCCTTTCTTGAAACAAATCATCATATTTTTTTCCTTTCAGCCTTTTTTAACTATAGTAATTCCTTTATAAAAACCACTGATATTATTTTTAATTTTTAGAGTTAAAGAAGAAAAATTCTGAGAATGTTGTTCCCTTTTCTCAAATCCAAATAGATTTTTTTGCGTTAAAAGCAGTTGAAAATTAAGTAAAATTAAAAACTTAATCTAGTTTTTTTAAGCATTCAAGTTTACTCAACAATTAAGTTACTTATTAGAGTAAAATAATCTAGCTAACCACACCATTAAAACTTTATTAATCATATCTACTTGATTCAAGTAGAAATACAAACACAACCTAGTTTCAACGAAGGCATACAACTTTAAACTAAAAATACTCCAATATATTTTCAAATTTAATTCTACAAAAAAACAATACAAACACTTGGTTGATTTAAATATATACTAATTTATATAATTTTTACTTAAATAAATCAATTCGCCTAATCGAAGGTCACGCCATTATTTGAGTAAACATACTCTTTTAAATATTGCCGTGCTGTACGTTTAAAAAAAGTTTTTTTATCACGTTTTAAAAACGTTCATAAGCTAACTGAGAAATTTCGTAAGTTAATAAAAAATAAATAAAACGTTTAAAAAACGCTAAAAAAACGTTTAAATTAACATTAAAAAAAACGTTTGCAAAAAAACGTTTTAAAAACGATTGTATTGGTTCTTTTAACGTCCGACCGTAAATTGAACGGAATTAAAACGTTTTAAAAACGTCCTGTGTTTACTGGGGATCTTGCAACTGCTCATTATGCTAATAAAACAGAAAATTGGTTTATTGATAATTCCATAGAATTTGTACAAAAATGCACTAAGTCACTAAATGTTCCACAGGCTAGACCAATTGACACATTTTGGGCTATTTTAAGTCAGATGGTATACAGTGATGGTTGGAGAGCACGTAGCATATATCAACTAGTTCGAAGAATAAAGAGCAAATTAAATGAAATAAAAGAAAATGATCCAGATCTGTTACAAAGACTAATGATGAGTGTTAAAACAAAACTTAGAAAAATCGCTGATAGAGGCGTCTATTCAATATGTTATATATATTAATAAATACTAGAATAAATGTTCTTTATTACCATAGAGTTTCATTTTTTTATCTAACTAATAATATTTTTTTACGAATCTATAAAAAAAGTTTGAAGACTTATGCATAACCCGTTAATCTTAAAATTTTAGAAAAATAATATTAATACACATTCAAAAATCGTTAGGTGATTTACGAATTTTACAACATTTCTTTTGGTTATTACGATAATTCTATAAAAACCTAACAGTCTTATCACAGAGCAACGTGAAAGAGCATTTAATTAGGAAGCTTGTACCTCTTTCCTTGCCATTCTTGCAAGTAAGGCCGGATGCTGCATCGAACAGTACAGACTTCTCATACGCTTAATTATTAAATTATGAAAAATTACAAAATTATAAAGTTATGAAAAAGGAGTTCATTGCATTTGTAGATATAATGCACAAATGTGATTGTTTTTGATTATTGATTGTTTTTAAAACACATCTGAGGAAGCAGAAAATATTAAAATAAGTTTGTCCTGTGCGTTCCAGCGCCAAACACCACTAAATGAAGCTTTACAAAATGTACACAAAACTGCATGCAAAAATATTTTTAAAATATTCAAAGAATTTATACGAAGTTATAAGAAGTTATATCAAATGAAGAAGAATCTCTAATCTAAATCTAAACCGCCAACACTTAAATATTTTTTGGAAGCAATAATAAAGTTTGCAACTTAGAAAAATCATATAGTTTAAGAACACATTAAAAGAAGAAATATGCACAACCCTAAATAATTCTTTCCAGACATCGTTTGCAGTTGAATAATAAAATTTTTTTTAATTCCCAATAATCATTTTATTCAAAAATAATTAAAATGATTATTGGTTGTAAAGCTATGAGCTACAACAAAACACATTCATGCACTTTTTGTATCAAAAGGAACAAAAAGTTCTATTTTTATAGTGATAAACTCTAGTAAGCGCTAATGCAAAAATCAAAATTTGAATGATATAAAATTAATAAAAATGAAAATAGAAACTAGCCTTACAAAACTTAAAAAAGAGCGGCTTTCGTCCCAAAAACCCAATGTGCTTAAAAACGTTAAAGATTTTTTTTTGTTTCTTTCTTAATTATTCATTTAGACGTTTGTAGAAGTCAACTTTTGCTATTAATATTTAGTTTTTCTATTAATATAGACGTCTTTTTTAGGTCCAGTGCTCACTGGGAACCTTTTCTAAATAAGTATCTATTATACTATATATTATGTCTTTATAATCCCCAATGGACACATGGACGTCCATGGTACGTCCAAAATGGTACTTTTGGATGTCCAAAAGGACGTTCGTGGACGAGCACTGGACGTTCCAAATGAACAACTTTTGTCCGTCCATTTTGGACCTAAAAAGTTCGAAGACGTCCAAAACAGTCCGTTTGGAGGTCTACAATAGATGCTTTTGGATGTCAAAATTTGCCCGTTCATTCAACGTTTAATTTTATTCAGCTTATTCTCATACAGTCTCTATTTTTAGCAACAATAAAAAATGGAATCTCAAGACTCAATTTTTTATTGTTGCTAGAAATGGAGTCAATATGAGAATAAGCTGAATAAAATTAAATTATAAGAAATAAAGTCTTTTTTTTCCAACAAAGTCTAAATTTGATATAGACGTCTTTTTGGGATTAAACACGAGTCACGTGACATGAGTCACAGTCGTCAAAAAGGCTTGAAAATGCGAAGTAATTCAAAAATACTAATTTTTAAAAAACGAACTAAATTTTATGCCAAATAATTCTTTAAACCTTCAAGAAAGTACACTTGAAGTATTTTTGCTCTAGTGCACTGAATTTTTGTATTTCGTCCCATTCAAAGAGCAAGGGTTGAAAATCCAATTATTGAAACCGAAAAATGCCTTAATATTTTTACTGTTTATGGCTAAATTTTTTTTAGGGCTAAATTTTTTAATATATTATATCCAATTTTATAAATGTGGAAAATTTTGAAGTAAAATTAATCTAAAATGAAACTCAGTGTAAAAGGATTAACTTGAAAGTCACAGAAAGTAAAGGATGCCAGATCATTTTCAAAATTGACCAAATTTTATTTTAAAAGATTATAAAAATTAAATTTCTGGTCTTTGTCCAATTATATTCGAACTTTAAAGTATTGATTAAGAATCACTTAACTATTTCTGCTTAAAATCATATCCCCCTACTTCCCCCTTTCAAAGTTAAATCAGTTCATTCAGCTGGCATGCCATTGCCATGGCAGTCCTAAATTTACCGCGCATCCTAAATTGTGCGGCAAATTTATGTACGTTGTCGTAAATTTTGGCAGGCAAATTTTAAACAAAAAATTTAAAACTTAAATAAAGACATACCCAGTGGAAAAAAAGACGTCGAAAAAGCGTCTGTAAAAGTCTTATTTACGATGTCTTTAAAACGTCTTTTTTTAATCGATTATGCAAATCTAAAAAACATCTTTTTTCGTTATCGAAAAGACGTCTTTTTTTATCTTAATCTTGTCATAAAAAGACATGAAAAATGCGTTTCTAAGACGCCTTTTTTTAGTCGAATATGCAAATCTAAAAGACATCTTTTTTCGACATCAAAAAGACGACTTTTTTTATCTTAATATAGTCATGAAAAGACATAAAAAATGCGCCTTTAAGACGCCTTTTTTTAGTCAAATATGCAAATCTAAAAAAGTGTTTTTTCTCGGGGTCAGACTTTTTTGCCATGCTTATTAGTATATATAATATCCTATACACTATAGTATTCCTACTTTTCATATATGAAAAGCTATTTTTTTCAAATGAAAATGATAATAGCTCTTCATACAAAGTATGACAAAAACCTCTTTTAGATGTCAATATAAAAGAGGAAGCATTTTCTACATCTTTTATATATTTAAATATAGGAGAATAATTTATAAATAAAACAATAGTATTGTTCAACAGAATATTTTTTCATCTTTCTCTTTCTTTTCTGTTTCTTGAGCGAGCTCTGTTTCTTGGCGTTGTTGAATAAAATTAACAATTTCACGTCGAAAAATCCTTTCATACGAGCAGCTTACGACTTCTAGCTGGTTACCACTTCTAAAAAACGAGTGAACATAAAAAACTGTCTATTGCTTAATGCAATACAAAAAAAGCAAACGAAACTTGATTAGCTGAGTGGAGCACATTATACTTACCGACTATTAATTCAAAAAGGGATGATCCTTTTAATCCACTCATGTTTCCAGCGCGGTCTCTTCTTTTTGAACTCACTAGGTTAGATTGGGACAGAAAATAAAAAAGTAAACAGTCTAAAAATATATAAAAATGAGTGTGCTAAATAAATTTACAAGCATCAAAATGACTGTACAACGATGTATTTTATTATGTAGTACTTAAATCAAGCTAAACATTTGCACCTCTCAGATTTGCTATGAAATCCAAGTTATTAAAAACAGATATTGATATTTTTCTGTCTTCTATAACATGCCTTTTTAATCGAATTTCGTTGAAATTAAGTGTTGTAGACTCATAACAATTCACTATCAAAACGAAAAGATAATTCAGCTAATACACCTTGAGAGTTGTTATTCATTTAAGCTAGAAAAAAGTATTAGTCAAAGCTCTATTTTAGCCTGAAACATAAAAATGCTTTACTTAACAACATAAAATCATAAAAACTGGCAATATCATTAGCAACACAGATGAAATACACATAAACAAAAATTAAGAATAGAAAGCTGCAATGATGTTTAGATATAAGAAAGTGTACTTTTCCAGTATCATTTTCACTTGGTTTTTTGTATCCAAAACCAAAAATTTTGTGAACATTTCTAAATATAAATCTGTTGTCATTATGTGTATTTTTATAATTGCTTTATTAATGAAAGACAACAGTTAACAAGGAAACAACATATTTAACATAAAAGTTGAAGAGCCAATCTTTTGTATAAACAATTTCATCATTCAACTAAATAAAAACAACAAAATTATATAGATCGTTTAAAAATATATAATAAAAAAATTACAAGTCTACTGAATGCTTCTTTTTTTATCGTTTGTTTCGCTGGTACTTGAATAAGTAAATATAGAGAGAAATTGTTTACAGGTTTTAATTTTCGTCTGAAAATAAATACTTTAATTTAATATGTAAAAAATAACGTTCTTCAAGCACAATACATTAAAAAATTAGTCTAAAAATAAATAGTCAAACTTTTTTTAAACACTTGCCTGCGACTAACTTAATTGAGACTAGATCATATCGATACCATCTTACTGGCACGACGCCACCCACTTTTGCTTCTTCCGATTATATATATATATATATATATATATATATATATATATATATATATATATATATATATATATATATATATATATATATATATATATATATATATATATATATGATATATATATATATATATATATATATATATATATATATATATATATATATATATATATATATATATATATATATATATATTTATTTATACTATAATATAAATATGCATTTATATTATGTATATTTTACATAATATATTATTTTATTATATAAATTATTAAATAAACCGCTAACCGGCAAAAGTTAATTTTTAATTAAATTTCCTATGCAAAAACGTTTCACATAAAAATTATATAAATAATTTTTAAAAGACGTCTTTCCACGTCTTTATTTTGGCTGATTATAAAAAGACATAACAAGTCATAAAAATAACGCCTTTTATTCGTCTAAAGATGTCTTTTTTCCCACTGGGTAACTTTTGATGAACATTGTCCATAAAAAGTTGGGTATTCATTGGAAAGCCTATTACTTAAGCTATGCAATTAACAGTTTAATTAATTGTTCAGTACTAAATTTCTACAACGTTAACAACAATGTTTTTATTTGAGAAATGTAAAAAATTTTATCTTATTCAATTTTTCCTATATTTCTATTAGCATTAAAAGAACCAAAGAACAATTTCAGGCAAATTATTAACAGCTCTCTCTCTCGGTTGCAAATATTTCATGCTACTCAAACAAAATGTAAATGTACAATTTTCATTTGAATGCAAAAAAATATGCTTAAAAGCTTTTATAATTTTTCTTTCAGATGTCTTTGCCACAAAAAGGCACTGAGTTGATTAAAATCAAAAATGGGGACATTTGTCAAGTCATGAAAGAGAGTAATGTTGCCATTACGGGCAGAAATGGTCAATTGATGTTATTCAAGAATATATTTTTTCTGTACTCAGAATTTCCAACATTTACAGGCAATTACAGCAGAGATTTCTAAAATTCCATCAGAGATTTCTAAACTTGTTGAGAACATTGCCACAATCTGGGAAGCACTTTTAATTGGATTTGCCATCAATTCAACAATGTTTGCTGAAATTTATTTTGATGAAGAGAATGCCTGTGATTGGTATTTTCTACCTCCAACACTTCACAAAATTTTCAAACATGGCAAGGATATTATTGGCAAGTGCCCTCTTCCAATTGGACTCAAAAGTGAAGAAAGATCTGAAGACAACAATAAATTTTTGAGAAAGTTCAGAATGCATCAGACAAGAAAGTCTTAATGGGCACATGGCATGGCTGATATGTTACGCAGGCTCACAGATTTGAGTGATCCAAAGGTTCAAGGATCATATGTTGGAAAAAGCCAAAGATTCAAAAAGAAGAGAAAACTGCCAGCAAGGACTGTTTCTTTACTTGAGTGTTCTGAAACAACCACACCACCACCATCCACACCACCACCAACTAGTCACCAGGATTTCGTGATGATAGTGATTCAGATTAAGTTGTTGGACATTTGAAATTATTTTTTATTTAAAATAGTACAAAAATCTTGTGAAAATGAAAACGACTTATTAAAATTCATTATTTTTCTAAATTTTTTGTGTGATAATATGTTTTCATTGTAATTCCAAATCAAAAAAAATTTTAAAGTTATCTAAAGTGTAAAAAATGAAATGAATTGAACTTAAACTTCATGAAATTCTAGTGGAAATGGTGCAGCTTAATGTAATTAATTGTTTTTTTCATATAGTGTGATTATGATGTTTTCAATGTTATTCTATTATTAAAACTATTACATTTTAAGTTATCAAAAGTGTTAAAAACTAAACAATTTTTATTTAATTAAAATGCTTCATGCTTAATTTTTTATATTATTACCAATTTTAACTGTTTTGCAAAGGAAACACAATTAATTCGCAATTTCAATAAAGATGTTTGTTTCTATGAAGACTTTTCATTTCTTGCGATGATTGGAGTCCTATTGCAATGATTGGAGTTGATCAAAAATATATTTTTTGCAAAAAAGGTTGCTCTTGCGTTGGGGGCAGTTGTGGCTTAACTTTTAGGGATTTTTTGCTCCCGGGCTCTAATCATTACAAACTTTTGCAAACCATCCTTAATTGACTTAAGTATAAACATATGTGGAGTTTGTTCCATTTTAGCTCAAAAAACAAAAAATGCTGGATGTATATATATATAATATATATATATATATATATATATATATATATATATATATATATATATATATATATATATATATATATATATATATATATATATATATATATATTTATATGCTTGTATAAATATATGAATAAATTTTTTTTTTAGGTGTTAAAAATGGGATTCAAGATAGCCAGAACCAAGACATTATATATAATAATCTTTTTTTTCGGAGCATTATTTCAGTTGAGCTTATTATGGTCGTTTCTAGGTAAACAAGTTAACCTGAAACGTAAATCTAAAACTAATTTTTGTTTTAGAAGAGCTCGTGATTTGAATCTTACTAAAAATATGCTGTATTCATGGGAATGGCACACTAATTCGCATTTAAAAGAAAAAGATAACGATAAATTTCACGTAGTGACTTATTTTGCTATGGTCGCAAGTAGTTTTAACAGACTAAACATGCGCATCAATAAATTGCATATACCCTCCCAAATCCAATATGAAGATAGACAACGTGAAATTGAAAATACATTACAAAATAACTTGAACAATCCATTAATAACTAACGTGCACATTATAATTTATGATCTTGGTGCTGCGCAACATTTAGCAAATCTGTCTTTAAAAAATTCTTCAAAACTTGTTCTGCATCTTACATGTGATGATCCTTCTGTAGAATCAACTTTCGAGTACATTCAAAGGTGTTTAATGAATAAAACAATTATTATCATGCATATGGATATATCTCTCGGGACAGGATGGGATTTAATTAAAAATTACGTTTTGAAATTAAAGGTTATGTATGCCTTAACACGCCATTCGATTTCAAATAGTACCTTTTGCGACGCTACAAATTACGGAACATGTGATTTCAATTCCACGTATAGTGGCTCCCATGATGCTTTTGTATTCCACATGAAAAAAAAATTTGATGACAATATTATGAACGATTTAGATCAGTTTAAACCAACAAACGAAGGAAGTGAAAATGTTTTAATTTGGCATTTCATAAATACAATGGGTTACAAAGTATTAAATCCATGTCGAAAAGTGATTATTTATCACAATCATTGCATTCCCATAAGATCTATAGAGCGAACTCGAGTAGATAGAGCAATACGTAAAACTGGATTAGCTCCGTTTACTGATCAGTTATTTTGAATACAGGTGAAGACAATATAATAATAGTCTAACCAAAATTAATAAATTTATTGTTTTTTTATAAACAATTTTTTTTTTACTATCGAAAAAAGTTAAAAATAAAATTGTTTTCTTATCACAAATTAGTACGGCAGTGCATTTAATGAGAGAGTTGGATATGAGAAAGTTTGTGCTTCTTTATTTTTAACTAATGTCGCTTAGATGGTTATTTTACTCCTCGGTGTAGTTAAAGCAATTTTAAAATATTAAAGCAACTGTATAATATTTTGTTGATTACGACATATTTCCGTTAAATTACCAGGGCTGTGAATTATGAAAAGACGAAAAAAAATTAAAATTGTCGTTGCGCAGGCAATACCGCCTATGTGACAATTTTTTCGATATTGAGATACGCACACAGAGTTTTTCGTCTCTAAGTGATGCATCTGTTGGTATCATCATAACTTTAAATATAACCACCAGAGGGGCTGTAATCAAAGTAACGCAGTCACGCCTATGTGAAGATTTGCGCGCAACACTGCGCGCAATCATTTGTTTTATCATTGATTATCATAGAATTATATTAATTTAAGTGCAACCTGATTTTTAGAAGTTTAGTTAACAGATTATTATTCTTAAAAGACTTGTTAGTTTTCGAAAAAAGGTTACAACCTATTTTTGCAAGTTAAAACTGAAATAATTTTTCAGCACATGTACAATATAGATCATAAAGTATTTACTAATGACTTACAAATTTAAAAAAAAAGAAAAAAACAAAAAACTAAGAATAAAGGGCCTGCCATATTTAGGATTCTCCAAACCAAAAGGAGGAAAAAGTAGACATGATACACCCCGTGATGAAAGGAAAATAGGAGTGGCCTGCACATCACGAAAGTGTGCTCAGGCACAGTCTGTGTGCTCAGGCACAGTCAAAAATCGGGATTGTGAAAAGTTTACGGAAGAAGATAGAAAATAAATATTCTCCGAATTCTGGACTGAAATGAATTGGGATCAACGGAAAGTGTTTGTCACAAACTTGGCACAAAATGTAGATAAGAAAAGAAAAATGACAAAAGAAGAAATTTCTTGAAGGGAAGTAAACAGAGAGTTTCACTTTTTCCTTAGAAACGAAAAGGTCCAAGTCTGTAGGGCTATGTTTTTAAATACTTTAGGAATCAAAGCTTGGACAGTGAGGCAGTGGTTCGCTAATTCAGGTGGAAGTGGTTTCCACAAATGCAAGTAGGTTCAAAATAGAAGCAGGCGAAAAAGTTCTCAAAGGAGGAAATCTTCAAAAGACTTAACATACGAGTTCTTGCAGTCCTTGCTTCTCTCCCCTCTCACTATTGCCAAAGTTCATCGACAAAAATGTACTTAGAATAATATCACACTTCTCGTTTTGGAATGTATCTGATATACAAGAAGTTTAGTGATTAAACAAATAACAAACCAATAGGAAGAAAACTTTTCATGGAAGTTTTTCAGTAATTAAAGCTTTGTCACCTAAAAAGGACAAATGCGATGTTTGTTGCTCGTTTGAAGTGAATCAAATTGACAAAGAAATTTATGACAGGCACATTGTAAAAAAGAACCGAGGAAGAGAAGAAAAAATAATGACAAAGGCAACCTAAATAAAGAAAAAACAGTAAAGGAGATTAGACATCATGTGTTTACTATAGACGTTCAAGCGGTGAAAATCAGCTCTTGCCTCTAGGCCAGTGCCCTTTACTATAAAACCAAGTTGAACTGCTACAGTTTCACTGTTTAAAATCTTTCAACTCACAATGCCACTTGTTAGTGGTTTAACGAATCAGAAGCTGATTTGTCTGCTAACACGTTTGCGAGTTGTGCCGTTTACGCAATAAGAGAAGCAACAAAAAAGAAAAAACTTCCTGTGATTTTATATTTAGATGGATCGTATCGTAGACGTATCAGAAACGCAATAGCATTATGTCAAATGCCCCGATTTATTTAAGTATAGAGTTAAATATTTACGTCTACCAGAAATTCTTGGAAAAGGGGCACACAAATGGAGTGCGATTCAGTGCATAACACAATTGAACAGAGCTTAAAAAAGAAAAAAAATCATCTTCCGAGCGACTACATTAAATGCACAACGGATGCCCAAACAAAACCTTGACCTCATTTATTTGAAGTAGATCACACTTTTGTGAAGAAGTATTCTGAAACATCGGCAATAGTATACTCATCAATACATCCTAGACTTTGTGCCGAGGATCTAACGGTGACAAACCTTCGATGTCTATGGTACAAGCCCGATCGAACAATGTTCTACAAACAGGGCTTTGACGAAGATTGGAAACTTCTGCAAAGAAGACCAAAGAAAATTAACTTTCCGATCACTTTCAATTTTCTCCATCAAGACAGGCTAAAAATAAAGCCGAAGAAATATCAGCATCTTCAAGAACTTAAAGTCGTTATGCCGAGCGACTGCCACGCTTTCTGTGATAACTTAACTCACTGAGCCTCTATAAACGTGTTTCAATTACATAAGACCTTCCTTTTTAATATGATGTTGTAATATGTACTGGTTTGTAATAGCGTTTTTTCAAAAGTCAAAATATTTTTAGTTCTCATTTTAGCATAAAAACTGGCATTTTCCATTCACAAAGAGTACTGACATGTCAATAAAATAAATTTGCATTTAATGTTCAAAATTTTTTTATTGATTTTGCCCTAAAGAAAATAAAAATTAGGAACTAAACCATTGATAAACATATTGATTTATCTTGTTTTTTTCGAAGAATAAATTTAAGCATTAATCAAAAGCTTTATTTCTTGCAGAGTCTTTTTTACTACTTGTAAATATTTTAGTTTTGACAGAAAATAAGTCTATATATCCTTGAAGTTCGTAGGAAATAGTTTGTTATGTTATTTGTAGTAGCAACTAATTTAATTTCAAATCTAGAAAAGTAATTTACATAAAAATTTAATCTAAGGTAGTAACACATATGTGATATAAAATTATTAATTTGTGTCACTTATTGCCTAAGTAACACAATTTAATAAAAAATTCACTTTCTTAAATTTATTTTACATAATAGTGTTATAATACATATTTCACATATAAGTAAGCATCTTATATGCCACTGGAATGAAAAATGCGTCTGTGATTCAGTTTTTTCTTATTCCTGTAAACTTTGGAATTGATCACATAGGTGGTATTGCCTGTGCAACGACGAAATGATAAGTTTTGCGGTACCATAAAATATAAATGTTTGTAGAGAAAAATCCAGACCGAAGAAAAAAATAATCCTAAAATCACAATCGCTTGTCCAAAATTAATGAGATTTTAAATAAGTAAGTTTTTTAGGTGAAATGAATATCATAGTTTAATAATATGATTTATTTCTGATCGTTTATTGGAAATCTTTCTTATTTATAAGCTCTTTCTTGGTCGGAATTCTAGTATTTTTTTTTTGAAAATTTATAGGAATATTGTATTTTGACAACTATAAATTAGTTAATATAAGTCAGAACCAATTAGAACTAGGATATATAGTGGGTTAAGGAAATTTTTCAAAAGATTTTAGCCAAGTTCATGTTTACGCTAGTGAGCGAAGTTGAACTAAAGACTCCAAAATGGTATTCTTCAGATTCACTATTAGGGGGTAGTAAAAAGGTTTTGAAAAATATATATATATATAAAAAAAAAAGTTTTTTTAGATATTAAAAAAACCTGAAGCAAATAAAATTATAACATTTAGAACTCTTGTTTGAAAATAATAGGCTGATAAAATTATGCTAATTTTAAGTAAAAGAATTCGAACAATTCATAAACTGCCTTAACTACACAGAATCCCCACAATATTATGAAATAAAATTTATCTTGTATATATTTCTTCATAATAAAATAATTCCTATAATATTTAATACACTTTTCAATTAAATTAATCACGTGTACGCCATCAGAGGTTCTAAAATATGGAACACTTTAATAAATAAAGAGTTGAAAAATTGTTCTTCTTTTACTCTATTCAAACAAAAACTCAAACAAAAACATATAATGATGTTAATTCTTTTTAAGGTTCGTTTTTTTTTTAGTTTTTAATTATTGCATTAACTTATTTTTAGTTTTTTAGGTGTGATTATTTTTTATTTATTCTTCGATTTTTTTTTTATAATAGATAAGTAACTGATCTTAACATACTAGTAAATATTTGTAAATATTTTTTAATGGTACAAAGTAATTGTATTTTTACTTTTTAATAGTTGTATACGCTTGCTGACGAAAGGCAAATATTGTCTTCTTTTAGTCCCGTTCATGTAGACTTTATTTATATATCACGGCATTGTATTCTTTTTTTTTTTAATGACTTGGTGTAGTTAAGGCGATTTACAAATTATTCAAATTTTTATTTTGAAATTAGCATGGTTTTGTCAGCATATTATGTCCAAACAAGATCTTTAAATGCGATAAATAAAAAATAAAAAAATACTAGAATTCCGAACAAAAAAGATCTTATAGTTAAGAAAAACGATCGCCAATAAACGATCATATTGTTGAACTATAATGTTCATTTCAGGAGATTTGAATCATTACTGATAAAGGTTTTGAAAAGTAAATATAGACGGGCGTAAGGTTTTTTGGCAATACGAGAACAGTGTTTGGAAAATTTTGTGTCAGAAGATACCGTAATACCAATACCTTCAATACAGTTAACAGTCGTTATCGGGGTGTCCAGGCAAAACGAATACAAATGAACAGTCAAAGACTTACTTCCAAAACATAAGTAGAAACATTTTTTAAATGCTATTTTTTGTTGCCAGTAAGCTGTCCAGTCAGAGAAATTTTTAATGATATTTTAAGGTCAGCATTGTTATTTTCGTTAAGTTATCAAGTTGAAGGTACCTTTTTAAACTATTATCAAAAATTGACTCCATAACTTTGCAACTAATACAAGTCATTGAAATAGGTCTGTAGTTCGTAGATAAGAAGGGGTTACCTTTCTTGAAAATCGGACATACATATGCGGTTTTCCAAATATTCGGAACTACACCGGTTAACATTGACAACTCGAAAAGAAGAGAGAACGGGATGGCAATAATATTAGCAATCGATTTCAGA